TTTCTAATTTCAAAAAGGGAATAACTGATAATGCATGAATATTGTGCTCTTTATTCAGAAATAACTCTTGCATAGAATATGTGATTCTACTTCGACAAAATAATATGATACAATATCAATAATGGTGATTCTAAAAGAACAATAACAATGATAATGCCTTCTAGGAATGACGCAGGTTATCTATGAAGTTACTCTAGCGTCAACAATATGTAGAACGTATTGCACAGGCTACCAAGGCTGACAGGTGGGACCCAGACACGTCAAAACCTCCACACACGCAAACAAGGCATCTGTGAGTCTCAAACACACTTGGTACCTCATGATTCATGGGTACTGATAAAAGTTCACTATTGTTGACCTTTGCTTCAAATTACATACATGTATGTATTATTCAGCACTGTGAGAACATATCAGTTGAATAACGCATTCCACGCACAGGCATCGGCTTTCAACAAAATCAGATCAGTTCAATAAAACTGTCGTAGCGCATAGACAGCATTGAGCCAGTCTACATTCGGTTATTTTCTTAGCGTGTTGGGTTATTCTCTGTGCATACAATCCAAAATCAAATTACTTGCGTAAACCAATGCATGAGGTTGTGTGTATGTGTTAGAATAATTAGAAGTCATAAACAAAGATACTATTTCTTCATGGGTTTCTGAGAAATTAAGACCATGTATAATTCCACACAGAACTCTGGTGTTTGAGTGGGATGAGGATTAGGATGGTGGTGGTAGTGGTGGTGAAACGGGGATTTAAGTCGCGTTAAAGTTTCCTTCACTTATGTAGCGACGTGCATGCACGTGTGTTTGTGTGGCTGTTTGTACTGGTCCGGACAACTGCCGGTTTTACGGTGCTAGCCTAATGAGATGCCATGCCGCAGTTTAACTAGGATAACCCTCTCAGCCACATGGTTGGTTGGTTGGTTTGTTGTTTAACGCCGCACTCAGCAATATTCCAGCTATATGACGGCGGTCTGTAAATAATCGAGTCTGGACCAGACAATCCAGTGATTAATATCATGAGCATCGATCCACGCAATTGGGATCGATGACATGCATCAACCAAGTCAGCGAGCCTGACCACCTAATCCCGTTAGTCGCCTTTTACGACAAGCGTAGTCACCTTTTACGGCAGGCATGGGTTGCTGAAGACCCCGGAATCTTCACGGGTCTCAGACACATGCGGATGCGGACTCCCAGCCGCCCAGTCTTTGTTTTTCCCCTCAATGCAGAGTGCCAGGCAGGGAAACAAGTACCATCTTTCAACGTTTTTTGATAGGACACTGCCAGTGTATCAATCTCATGAAAATCAGATCTTAGTTCTCGCTATCGCAAAACAAAGGGAGCGAGAACTTAGATCGGATTTTAATGAGATTGCCAGTGGATCGAATTACCGACCTTTCGCTCTCTGGTCAGACGCTCTACCAACTAGATCACTGGGGCGGTGGGAGGGGCAAGTGGAGGGTTGGTACGATGCAGTGTGCAGTTGGGTCGACGTTGTATGTGTACTGAACTAAGGAAATGATGCCTGGGGTGGAGGTCAAGTGTTTTGGAATACGTAGGTTGGCGTGGATGGGTGTGTAAAGGGCGGGGCATATACTTGTATGTGGTCAAGTGAAACGGGTGTTGCCAACTTACAGGGATATGTCAATGACAGGCTGTTGAGATTAAACTGTGTACACAAAATATTTCTATTTGTCGATTAATGTCCGGAGTTTCCTTCCACAAAAGTCTAATGGTACAGGAGCATTCGTCAAGTCTCGTCCGTTTCCGTGACAAATCGGTTTGTTTCGGAATGACCGAGGTGATAACGAATGGTCAATAATGCTGACAACTTTTTGAATCTTAAATCGAGTCTAAAACCTCAAAATGACAAGAATTTCCTAAAATAATGTCGCATCAAATACTAAACAAATAAAACAACAAGAAATACAAATGCCCGAATCAATAAAACATGCACATAAAATAAAATATATTTGCATACATAACATCTTTGATTAACTAAATTTGATGATTTCGTGAAAGAATAGGTCCCAAGGAACCTTTGCTGGTCGTGTGACGGCATACCCGACGGCGTGGCTCGCTCACAATATCGATCACTGGATTGTCTGGTCCAGACTCGACTATTTATAGACCGCCGCCATACAGCTTGAATATTGCTATGTGCGAATGCAGCGTTAAACAACAAACAAACAAACAAACAATGCTACATATCAAGGGCATTATAGGAAGACGCAACAGTAGCAACAGTTTTGTTTTCTATTACATTATTCTGCATACAATTCACATTCTAACAAAGTATAATAAATATATGTATACCGTGGAAGCATTCTGAACAAATTGGCGATACGAGAGTTTGGATAGTTTTAACTGTTTGGCTTATTAATATTTTATGCCGCGACGGTTTCACCCATGTCGCAAATAAGATCCCGTCGATATTGTCTGTTGTCAAAGGAAGTAATCGAGCGATATAGAAACGCTCGAAGACCTAACGTAACACGTGACCCAGGTACGTCAAATTGAAATTCCCTCTCTGCACGATACACCAGTGTTGCAGCCACCACAAAGTACTTATGTGTAGAAAACGACAGTGACGATAATGTAAGCACGTTAATATAAGCCTCGTTTGTTCAAACAACAATTATTTTTGGGTACAAATCTAAGGCAAAATTGTTTTTATGTAAATCCAGGCCAGGCTCTGGGAATAACACATGATCGGTACCTAAGATTCAAACACAGGAGCACCGTGCAGAGGAATACTTTGTCCAGCTGCGCAGATCGATGTGCATGATGTCAATCACTGGATTGGCTGGTTAAAATTCATCATATAGCTGGATTATTGCCGAGTGAGGCGTCAAACAATAAACAAATAAATAAACAAACAAAACTTTGTCCAAATGGTCCCTAAACTGGATTTCTTTCTTCAACCTGAAAACAAAGATCGAAGGTTAAGCCATGTGCTAAAAGCCACTTCAACACTATTTCAGTTACATCTTAGCACAGTGTGGGTGGGGAGCTTGAAGTGATGGAGACGTCACCACTGAAGGTGAAGCCGACCAGCACGGGTACGCATCTGGCGCTGACACACCAAGGGTGATGATCGGGTCGAACTTGGTATTGGAACCCTTGAACTTCAAATATTGAAGTCTTTGACCATCCATACATATCAATATTCCTGACCATTTCTGTTAGCTATTCCGCAGAAGGCGAAAAGTTTGATGTTGATGAAGATGTGAAAAGAGAGAGATTCATTACCAAATATCGTCATCAATCACGCAATACATCATCATTCTACGAATTTCGACTTAGGAAAGAACATGTTCAACATGATTGATTATTCTTCCAGAAAATGGCACGAACCATGAAGCTTCACGCCACTAACATATTTGTCCTAATGATGACAAACTTAACGTAGATTATCAGGGTTATACGAGGCCTATAGCCGGTTAGTCTAAACGGACTAGTTGTTTTCACCTGAAAGAGAGTTATTTTACATAAAACACACGTTTGAAATGGACTAATTGGATTTGACCAGTGGTGAAGTGAAACTTGCGGGCATAAGGTCGCGGCCAAGACTATTGCACATACATAGCGACGTGCATGCACGTGTGTGTGTGTATGTGTTTGGCTGCTTGTGCTGGTCCAGACTAATGCCGATTTTATACTGTTAGCCCCCTGAGATACCATGCGGGAGTTTAACACGAATACTAGTAACCAACTCAGACACAGTATATTGACTCCGGGCCGACCCGTCCTTGTTTAAGCTCCTTCATGCTGAGCGCTAGGCAGGGTTATAACAAGATCCATCTATTGACGTCTTTTGGCAGTGTTTGAAATATAAAAAAATGTCAGTCCCCAACTAAACTCTTCAGGCCCTCAAAAAAAGACCTGCAGCCTAATGTGACATATACATCGAGGGGTACATTAAACGCAGGCCAATAGGACCTACACAGATTTGAAACTACGGATCTACCTGCCACGGGCCGACGGGCAGGCACTTATTTCGAACACTGTCTTTTGGTAAGACGCGGCCGGGGATCGAACTCCGGAACTTCCGCTCTACCACTAGACCACGGAGGCGGTCTTTGACCAATGATGTTTACCCCTGAATGTAGTGTACATCTGACTTTGACATATGCGTACTTTAACTGAAATGTATACAATTGTAAATGGCTTTACTAAACATGCAAGCTGATTAACACAGTTTGAAACATACCCGGTTATAACGCCAAACGCAACGCCAAACCAAAGCGTCATCACAAAATAGCTTCATGCTATTTTAGCACAAAAAACACATTTCGTGAAAAATCAACCTAATGGTTTCCATGGCAATTTAAGGTGTCTTTAACTCTGGTTATGACATGATTGACGAGAAGCGTTTTCATAAATCTATTGAAAACTTCTATAAACATCAGATTCGGGTTTTTATAAAATGAAGGATTGGAATATACACACAGCGGTTCGGTGAAGTTTTGTAGCCTGTTATTGTGGTTCCAATTGAAAAAAAAGACGTTCCATATTGAGTGAGTGGGTGAGTTGGGTTTAACGCCATTTTTAACAGTATTCCAGTTATATCACGGCGTGTCAGCTTAATGTAGGAGGAAAGCCCGAAGTGATGCAGGCCTCAAACGTTTACCACTACGGTGAAACCCACGAGCACGGGTATGGTGCTGACAAACCTAGAAACATAATCGGGGCGAACCGGGATTCGAACCCACAATCATTGGTTTCTGGCGTGCCCAAGGGACGCAACTCTTCACAGCGAATCGCGGCGTCTTAGATGACTGGGCCACCCGTGACCCCCTCCTCCCCACCCCCCGTCCCATATTGAGCCAGTAGAGACCGTTTGCAATGAAAGTGAGTGAGTGAGTGAGTGAGTGAGTATGGCTTTACGCCGCTTTTAACAATATTCCAGCAATATCACGGCGGGGGACACCAGAAACGGGGTTCACACATTGTACCCATGTCGGGAATCGAACCCGGGTCTTTGGCGTGATTGCAATGAAAGAATGAGTTTGGTTTAACTAATGCTTTTACAGTACTTCAGTTATACCACGGAGAATCAGCTTCACACGGTACCTAGAAACATAATCGGGTTGAATCTGGAATTCGAACCCACGATCATGTTTTGATAACGCCCGACTCAACGCTGTCCCGCAAAATGTGGCGTCTCAAACGACTGACCCACCCATGACCCCCAGATGCACACTGATTAATAACAGAAGAATGGTACAGACGGGCATGCAGGTCACGAAACATCTATCAGTATATGCGGGGGATATGAGGATATAGATGATAGTGATGATGAATATAACACAGTGAATGAATCATCAACAGCATAAACGAGTCAATAAACATCGAAATACCTATAGCATAAAACCATACATAAACAAAATCATACACTATAAGGATGCCCATAAATATTGAAAAAAAAGAAAAAATGATCTCAATAACAATGCTGTATAATGTGACTAGATAAGACCTCTTCGCACACAACTTCTCATTACTCCGACACAGCGGTAGAGGGACAGATACGAGACCACGGACCATCCACCGACGGTCAAGTGTCGAGGAGTCTCCCCTGAGTTGACCACACGGCACACGTCTACGGCTTATCATATAGGGCAAGTCTTCATTATATTATTCCAATCGGCGCATTTGATAATAAACCCATTCTCCAGTCCTACAAGCACCTACATTATCACATAGTGGCTTCAGAGTGATATCCATCAATTTTCTCGTCTCCCAGCCACGCCACACGCTCCTGACCCTCAAAGGACCTACTTGGACCCGTGGCGACCAATTTGGCTCAATTTTCCATTTACGATTCAAATCCCTTCACAAATGACCAAAGGGTGCAATTAACAGTTCCCCTCCGGGCGCAATTATCGGTTGACATGGGTGCTTCTGGATTAGATATATCATAATGAACAGTACTCAGAAGCTTCTGATCACATTTTCTCCTGGACATTTCCCATAGAGGAGTCACTGAGGCTAAAAAGTATATTTGTATCTGCATCAAGCGCCGATATCGTTAGCTTCGCTGCATCGACCTCTTCTCCACCAGTCAGCAACGTTGGGGTAGACCTTGGGCCACTGTAGGGGTTGATGGACTCGCTCGCATAACAAACAGTGGGGAAAAGGCTGAGGCTCAACAATGTGATAAGAATCCTTCCACTTGAGATAGGACACATATTCGTCCACATTGTTAGCCAGATACTTCAGGTATTCCGCTAAGTCTTTCACCGATGTGTAGTCTCCCGTGATGATGGCCATCTTTGAAGGCAACAAGGCAGTGTAGTTGGCCCCACCTCTTGCGACAGGCACAATGTCGGTTTTCAAGGTTTTTAATAATTTTTCAGTGACATAGTCTTGGCATAAAGAATTTTCAAAAGATAAATAAAACTTATAATCTTGCGCTAACATCTCCATACATTCCCCTGAGCGATCGCGCTCACATTTTAACCTTCCACAATGACCGTATATGTCGACCGGGATGTATTTTTGTAACATGTTCACATATTTCATTCTTTGGCTTTGTGTATTGCAGTTGCTGACGAACCATGCCACGAGTTTCTTTTTTCTCGTTGCTATGGCAACATAGTCTTTAGCTTCAGTGATCCCGCCTGGCACGACGTCCCCGTAGCCGAACTTAATATCCGAATCTAGACGGTAGCTCATTGTCCAGTTGAACTTCCCTTCCCACGATGGACCACCAAAACCAGTGTTAAAGGAATGAATTGGACTCTCTACAGAGAAGAAGATCCAGACTTGACCAGGGGTCTTCTCCGGTGGTGCATTGCCGGGCTGGTGGTCCGTGAAAAACAAGATGGCGTCGCTGTTTGGAATTGTTTCCGGTTTGTCCACGTATGTACATGTGCTTACTGGGCAGCCCTCAAAAGATTTTTCTCCCATTTGCAGCTCGTAATACCATGGGAATGAATGAAGGTGAATCATTTTGTAGGTCTTGTTTGTCTTCAGGAAGACTTCCGGTGGCGGGTGTTTGGGTTTGTCGACCCGGAAGTAGAACACGGCGTACAAGGTCAGGCACACGCAGATACACATGACCAGGAGGTTGTAGGTGGAGGATATGCGCATGCCTCTGAAACATAAAGTCAAGGTAATTTAAATGAAACGCATAAACATCCTTGTTTCGAACTGACATCTACATTTAACATTCAATAAAACTGGCTTAATGCTGCTTAATGCTACTTTTAGCAACATTCCATCCATATCACGTCGAGGGACATCAAGAACGGGCTTCCAACCGCACCAATGTGGAGAATCGAACATAGGTCTTGGGCGTGTTAAGCGAACGCTTTAACCACTAGACCACACCGCCGCCTCAATCCCGTCGAAAAAAGTCGGATGCGTCAGTCAGAGATACTATTTTAGGATGCATTATCAAAAATATACATTAGAGGTAATCGTAATAAAAAAAATACCGTAGGCACACCAAAAATACATGAATCGAACCCAGTCTTACTTATGACGAATTTGCTTGATTTTGACATTCTTGAATAACCCTCAAATTACCGAACGAGTTATTAATGAAGAAGGTGCATTCCTGTGACGTCATTGAGGTTTTCTTCTTTCGATTTGATGCGCCTTTAACATCAATGACCGTCTTAAATACCAAGGTTTTTCCAAATCTAAATGGTTATCATAATCAATTATTCATAATGATATGGGACAATATATAACATTTATGCTCGTGTCTTTTGATATCAAATATACGGACACTAATCAACATGGTTTATATCAAACACTCGGACAAATAATTTTGTCTGTAATCACCAGACAAACAATAACATCAAAACTGATCACAAAGCACGCAATGTAGCCATAACGATGCCGTCGGGAATGTCAAACACTTTCGATTTTCATCCAACTCTATCAGAAGACAAGGCCCGTTGATTAAGGTATTCTCAATGCAGAACGCTCAGTCGAATCAATGAGCAAACCCAGCAATGGCAATACGCTGAAAAGTAGGGGAGATTAATTTCAGTTAAACGAGTAAAACCTCGCCAAACACTTGATCCCGACAGCAGCCACCAATTTAACCTGACCATTGCTTTATCGGACATGTTCCTCTGATTGTGACCAGGGCGTATCGCGCTCGTCCGATGGAAGCAGTGACCTGGCCACCCGCTGGTACAGAGATGACCGAGGAACAGTGATCTTTGGTTGACGGTAAAACACAACTACGGACGTAGAAGCGATGGGGAAACAGTCGTGACTGACAGCGAGGGGAGTTCAATTTCAGTCCATGTTGGTTGCCCAATCACAAATTGGCGGCACATCAGGATGGGCTAAATAGTAATCCCCAAGGCTGTCGATCACATAACGCTGGTCTGAGTATTGAAGTGGGCTTGTATACAGTATTCAGCCAGGAGCACTATAAATGCATGGAACAGACACAATATCGTTCCGGCATCGTTCTGAGTTTCGTACTTCGTATAATTTAAAGATTTTTTATGATTTGGGTAGTTTTCTCTCAAGACGTGAAAGACATGTTTCGCAAGAAATGTTTCATTTTAACGACATGCTGAAATTGAAATCGAGGAAATTACTATCTCCCGGGTCTACTGGATTGCATGGCAAGTGTACCGCAGAGATGAGGATACTTGAAATATTACATGGTATTAATTGCCGATATGGGTGTGTTGCGCATACAAGGCCTGGTTACATATGGACCTCTTGTGAAAGCTATGAAAACACCGACTCGATGAAATGCCCAAGATAATCTTCTGCCGCAGCAACATACAGTCGGAAACATTATAGCAGCAAATACATCAATATCACAGCAAGATAAGAGCACGAAATACAGCAAGCCGACAGCACGATTAAGGCACGAGACAGCAATATCACGGCAAGGTTACAGCAAGATTAGAGCACGTCATACAGCATGATTAGATATCAAAATACAGCAATATCACGGCAAGGTTACAGCACGTCATACAGCAAGATTAGAGCACGAAATACAGCAATATCACGACAAAGTTACAGCACGTCATACAGCAAGATTAGAAATCAAAATACAGCAATATCACGGCAAGGTTACAGCACGTCATACAGCAAGATTAGAGCACGTCATACAGCAAGATAAGAGCACGAAATACAGCAATATCACGGCAAAGTTACAGCACGTCATACAGCAAGATTAGAAATCAAAATACAGCAATATCACGGCAAGGTTACAGCACGTCATACAGCAAGATTGGAGCACGAAATACAGCAAGATTGGAGCACGAAATACAGCAATATCACGACAAGGTTACAGCATGATTGGAGCACGTCATAAAGCAAGATCAGAGCACGAAATACAGCATTATCACGACAAGTTTACAGCAAGATTGGAGCACGTCATAAAGCAAGATTGGAGCACGAAATACAGCATTATCACGACAAGGTTACAGCAAGATTGGAGCACGAAAAACAGCAAGATTAGTATACAAAATACAGCAAACTCACACCAATAAGACTGTAACATCGCAGCAATACATAACAGAGGAGTTGCTTAGGATCCATTCATAAGACTAAGCAAAACGGACACTTATTTTGGTTTCAAATAACATCCCTTTCCCTGCCTCAGTCGATGGGTTTTACACATATTTAACACAAGGCCTAACAAGAGGCTTTTCAAAATTGTTCCTTAAGCAGCACCCAGACTGGAATGTAATTGAAAATGATCGTTTGTTCCAGGGAAAAATGGGGAAAACTTTGCCCAAGGTTTCACAAAAAACAAAATTATTTATTGGATATGATGTACGTCCTTAAAATATATTTGTGAGTAAATTCCTTTTGTTGCCTCAGGTAAAGGAAAAGAAATTGTGCCTCTTGAAGCAGCAACCGAAAATATATTTTGTGTCTCCCTTTAAAAGCGTGTTAGTGAGTGAGTGAGTGAGTGATTGTTTACGTCTGTTTGAACAGTATTTCAGTTATACGACGGATGTCAGCATGTGGGAGGAAAGCCCAACGTGAGCGGGTTAGGGGATGTAGTTTTGACGTCACTTATCTTTTTACATGTTCTTAATTCTCCTAAAAACGAAAGTGGTTTCTCTTAAGAATAAGTAGTTTGTGAACAGTTTCTTTTTAAGAGCCCAAATCTGAACGTAGCGTCTGTTTGTATTCAAGAAGCCCGTTTAAGATCAAGGTATATATACACAATGGATGTCGATACGCAATTCAATCGCAATTCAGATCCACTCAATCAAGATTTGGGGACGCTTTTTATTTACCAATCCCTAAAATACCTTCCAGGATACTTTTTTGCCTTTGACATACAGACCTAGCTGAAATCCGTAGTGTTTGGATTTTGGATGTTTGATCTAAGAAAGTACACGATTCAGCCAGGAGGGAAGTGTTTGATCATTGGAACTGAAACGAGTCGGTTGTATCCTGTGAAATATTATGCCCGCTACCAGTTTATATAATAGGATTTTAGTTTCATTTCGGCGTTAAATAACTTCGAAAGATTTTTTTGTTTAGCAGAAGATGAAAGAAGTCGACTCGCTACTGGACAAATAAAACAATTATCTCAAAATAGCCCGAATCGATTAACGGTAATAGGAAATGGGTTTCATGTCATAGCTTGAATCGGGAAGTTTTTATTCCACATAAATGATTGTGACAAAGCCCTCGCTGGTTGTAATGAGAGGGAAATTGGTTCAACATTGAATCTGTTAATGGCCAGGGGAGTCCCATCTTTATGGTGCATGGTCAATTAGAAGAAGTAATTGATATCACATTTCGCGACGCTGATTAGGGTCATCCCCCAGATATATTTGGAGAAAATGCGATTACACACGCTCTCGCGGACATATTTGCGGTTTTCTTAACGTTGCGTGAAATAAAGACTCTTACTTTTTCATCAAGCTAAAAGCTTACCGAAGGATACTGAAATACAGCGTTTCTCTCACACTTCCCCTTTCAACCTATCACGTACTATATCCTAGGGACCGACCATTTGGCAGTCTGGGGGCTGGGGGGCTGGGATTTCAGCGAACAAAATCAATTGTTGTCTGAAAATTCTTGAAAAAAATAATTCTGCTTCAGCCTAAAAAATAAAGATATTGTCTGCCACGAAAAATACATGGCTGCAGTAGTGGTTGGTTTTTTTAAATGTTTACTCCTGCTCATAGTTTTATTTAAAATATATATCTGATTTTTCAATATCGGGTCTGCATACAAATACCACTTTCACCCCCGACTATGAAATTGTCAGTTTGTCGGTCCCTTAGTGCTTATTTGCGTTAAACAACAAACAAAAAACCCATAGTAGTTATTTGAATATAAATGACCAGACATGTGCCGTTTAATGACCATATTGATACTGGGTGTGGGGTTTACTTCAGTTGAACCATAGTTTGGAGTAAGCTATCAGTTTTCACGTAAAATAAACATTTACAACTCATTAATACTGTGTTATATAATATATTTTTTTCAAATAGTTTCGGGGACAATTTATTTGTTTCCGTCGCCAATGTATATCTTAACCTCCATCGCTTTCCTTGTCAATCTCCAGAATTCCATTTGTGTAAGGAGTATAGGTCCCATTAATTGTGTCAATACAAACAAAATATATAAGAAACACCATGAAAAACATAAATAGCAATGTTGTAACAAAAGGAAAGTTTGTAAAATGGTTCATATCCTGTTGAAGTGTGTATCATAGTTGGCTAGTGAGTGAGTGAGTGTGTTATGTTTATCACCGTCTTTAACAGTATTCCAGTTATATCACGGCGTGTCAGCTTAATGTGGGAGGAAAGCAGCTAGCTAGTAAAATTATTGAAGAAAACTGTCGATGAATATCATTCTCTTCTAATAAGGACCCGTGAAGATCCGGGGTAGAATAGGTCTTCTGCAACCCATGGCTGCCGTAAGTAGCGACTATCAGGTGGTCCCGCTCGCTGACTTGGTAGATGCATGTCATCGTATCCAAAATGCGTGGAACGATGCTCATGATGTCAATCACTGGATTGTCTGGTCCAGACTCGATTATTTACAGCCCGCCGTCATATAGCTGGAATATTGCTGAGTGCGGCGTTAAACAACAAACAAACAAAGAAACAAAATCTTCTATTAAGATATAGAAGCAAG